GATTCAGCGCATCGGGATGGGCAGGGACCCAGCACCGAGCTGGCGAGGGAGAGGGGTCAGTCACTGGGCACCGGCTACAAGGAGAGCCCTGGGGTCTCTCCAGCGGAGCCAGAGCTGGGGCTGAGCCCCAAGGAAGGGGCTTTTGGGGAGAGGAAAGGTTGGATCCCTCTGCCCCCAGGAATCCTTCCCCTGGTGCCGGTTGCAGGGCCTGAGCAGAGAACGGGACCTCCTGAATCCGCAGGGAAACAAACCTCTCGTGGCAATTCCCACATCCAGCGACCACTGCAGCTCTGTTAATATTCTGTGCTTCTCCCAGTTTAGGGTTTTTCTTTCTTGGGAGAGAATAATGGAAGCTACAAGTTGTCTCTCCTCTCTCCCATCCTTGCACGGCGAAGATAAGCCTCGCTCTGCAAATTAAAATTTAAATTTCTCCAGTCCTAAAAAGAATTATCTCAGCGGTACATCGGCTCAGCGTGGCTCCCTCCAAATAAAGCTCTCTGAGGCCTTTTGTGGCAAGAACTCGCAATATTTCTTTATCCCTTTCCTATAAAATGCAGGGACATCACACTGGCGAGGCGATGCCCTGCGCCCAGACCAGGGCAGGTTCCTGCCTGTGTGCACAGCTCCCAGTCACGGGCGGGTAATTAGTCCGTATTTTTAGTTCATGGGTAATTCTCAACGGTAGCTGGGTCTATTAAACTTGATTCAGATGTGACAGCTTAAATTGTAAACAGCTGTGAGGAGTTTCATACTTAATTACCATATTTAAGTTTTTGCCATAAAGCGTTTGCACTTCCATCAAAGATGTAAATAGCTCCGACATTCAAATGAGCTCTCCTGCGTCGCGAGGCTTAATTGGCACCGATGGGGTCTCTGTGCCCCTCCTGTGTGGGAGCACCTGGATTTTGGGGGACGCCTGCACCCTGTTTGTGCTCCCCCCCACATCTCCCAGCTACTGGAGGCTGCGGGTTATGGACCTGGATCCGGGTTTGTGAAGTTTGGTAAAACAAACTCGGGCCTTGAGGCCCCTGCCATGTGTTTCTCGTTACCTCCTTGCACTTCAACTGCACTTGAGCTCTGCCTCCTCCTAATGAATCTGGCATTTGTGTCACTATTTCTGCATTGGCAATTCGGGGGTTTTGAGGTGGGGGTGGTCTTGATGCTCAAGCTCTTGGCTTGGGGAGGAGCAGAGGGGCTGAATGTGAGGGTGTCCCTGCACCCTGGCTGCTCCCAAACCAGCCCACACTGCTGGGCTGAGCCAGTGAGGCCCTGACTTAGCTTGGGGATGCCAGGGGAACACTCTGGGGTCTCATCTTGCCTCCAGGATTGCTCCTCGTTGGAGAGAGCTGCAGATTTGTGGTGTTTTACCCCGTTGTGTGTTGCTTTTGGAGCATCCTCATGTGCCAGGTCATGCGTGGTGCTGAGGAGGGATGGACAGCAGCTCCGTGCATCTCCGTGTGGCCAACAGCGGCGCGGTCCAGGGCTCGGCTCGATGCTGGTTCCCTGTGAGGTGTTGGTTGTTCTGGTGGGTGATGCTCTGTGGTGGGCAATGCTCTGTGGTGGGCTCTGCACAGCCCGGCCCCACAGTGAGGACCCGCATCTTTTGGGAAGCTGTGAGGTGTGTGAGGAGCTCCACGCTCAGGAGCAGCTCCTCTATCCCCATCTATCAGCACAGTGGCTGGGACAGCCACGTCCCTGCCTCCTCCGTCTCCCCATTACACCTAAAGACGCCTCTACACTGAGCTGCGTGTCCTACATGGAGCAAGTCTCTGCTTCCATCGATATTTGATTACCCCTCCCTGGCCAGGGGGGAGCGTGTGGAGCAGAGAACCGGTCGGATCCAGGGTAATGTGAATCTGCAAAGCAGAAATCTCCAAGTGATTTAAATCTGCTCAAGGCTGCATAGATTAACGTGCTGCCTCGCCGCTGTCTTTGCAGGCTCAAGCCGTCACCCTCACCGTGGCCCAGGCCTTCAAAATCGCGTTTGAGCTGTGGCAAGCGGCTAAGGAAGGTGAGTCCTTTCTCCTGAGAAAGTTCAAGGGATGGCTGTGGTTTATTTTCCAGCTTTCGAGTGCCTTTTCCCCTCACCCTCCAGATTTCTGGGCTGCTGCTAAGGTTGGTCCAACCTGTGGTGTGATTTAAGGCGCCTCCCAGGTTTCTCTTTCACAGCGTTGTAAATCCAGCCGCGTTTTGGCGGGGTGTGAAGGACCTGGTGCTCCTCTGTGGTGGCTCAGCCCTGCTGCTGCTGTCAGCGTTTTTGCTTTCACCTTCCATGAGGTGATAAAACGCACCCAGAGCCCGGGCTGCTGCAGGCAGAGGAGACCCAGTGACCTCTCCTGGCTGTCCCCGCTGTCCCTCCTCCCTAAAGGCTTATGGGGATGCACTGCATGAGCAGTGACGGAGTCTCCTTTTGCAGAGAAGGAGAAGCGGGAAAGGTCCATCTTGGAAGGAGAAGGGATGAGCAGCCCCAGCTCGGACACCCCTGCCCGTCCCGACACGCGTAAGTCACCAATGAGCTCGGCTTTGGGCTCAGGATGGGGAATTTGGGGTCTGTGGGGTTTTGCCTGAATGGGGCAGGCTCCTTGGAGGGCTCTGAAGACCAACGAGGGGCAAACGCTGTGGTCACAGTGGAGCTGTTGCTGTCAGCAACACTTGGGATGCGGTGGCTGCCTGCTGAGTCCTTCAGTCTCCCCCTTAAATATCTGATGCAGCCCCAAATTTGTTCACTTCTGCCTGCAGCAAATTGGCCATAACGTCCTTATGAGCTTAGCGTGGGCCCACATCTCCTCAATTTGATTTTGGGTTTGTCTTGGACCCAAAAGACTTGCAGGAAGTGGACACCCAAGCTGCCTCCAGCTCCCCAAAGGACGCAGAGGTGGATGCAAATGAAACAATTAAATAGTAAAACTCCTGATAATTCGGTGTCTGGCCCTGGGTCCTCTGCCGCCTCCGAAGCGCAAGGCGCGTAGCCAGGGAGAAGTGGGACAAAAGGCTGATCTCTTGTCCGTGCTGGCCACGGAGATAAGAGGATTTGGCACGGAGGAAAACAGCATTAAACTGGGCTTCCTTCCAGGCTGGCACAGCTCGTTTCTTCGTGTGAAGGCCCGAGGCTGAAGGAATCTGTCACCAGCGGTGGCACATGGGGATAAATGAGACCCATAGGAACGGGCTCGGTGTTCGGGGGATGCTCCACAGCTGAGGCTTTTCTGCATCTGCCCTTGCTGCAGGGTGGTGGGGGGATCTGAGGCTTCCCTGAAAACCACCCTGCTGTGCTGGCAGCCTCAAACTGCTCCTCCCCAGTGCAGGGTTTGCCCTGGGTCCTACATAATAATGATGTGTCTTTGTTAGAGGCTGAATCGATGCCGGGGGCTGAGCTGAGGATATTGCCTGGGGTCTGTTCCTGTCCTGGGACTGCGATGCCCTGGGGCTGCAATGTCTCAGCGTTGCCCGGGGCTGATCTGACTCACCCCAAATGTACCCAGGAGCCTCTCCCAGCACTGGAGGGACGAGCATCCCAATCCTCCCCTGCATCCCTTGGGTGCCTGATCTGAGCGTCACGAATTATTCAGGCTGAAACCACATCCCCAGCTGGGGTGAATGCAGCTCCTCCGTGCTAAAATTTGGGGCCATCCTGAAGGAATTTGCTGTAAAAAGGCTCGGTTTCGTATCATTTCTGTTTTCTCCCCCCTGCCTCACTCCATCTCCTCTCTGTTCACAGCCGCAGCCACGGGGAACTTGCTGGATCTGGAGGACCCTGCCAAATCCCCCCTGAGCAGCAGCGCCAACTCCCCGCACTTGGATAACAGCGTCTTTGGGCCCAGCTCCTCAGTGAATAACAACGTGGTGTGGGTAAGTGTCTGCCGAGCCGGGGGGGGGGAGCGGTGCCACCTCCATTTCATCCTCTCCAGGTCTCATCACAGGGCTTTCTTTGGATAAACCACCCCCGAGAGCCCTGAGTTCGGGCAGGGTTTCGGTGTCGTACTTGAAATGATCGATTAGCGTCGAGTGCCTGCTGCCCTTTTTAGGCTCTGTAAGGAAATGAATGAGATCACGAGGCGCTCTGCACAACGCCGCTGTCAGATAATTGAATATTACTTATTCTGGAGCAGCATTTCTCAGTGGTTTGTCACTTAATTGAGAGACCACCTAGCTGCTCTGTTCAGGGCGGAAAAAATCATTATGTTGATGGCTTTTGTTTACTGTTCACTAAGACCAGGTTATATTTATGTTCGTTATTACTCTCAGTTTTCCCTTGTTCTCGTTGGCGGCTGTATCTGGCTTGTGTGAGCATGGATGGCTTCCCTAAAATGCCCTCAGTCATCTGGCTTAATTGCTTCATGGACCACTAATGGGAAGATGAAGGAGCGAACCCAATTGTCTGGGTGTGCATCCTTTGGGGAGCCTCCTCCGTGCCCAAATGCTCTGGGCTGGGGCTGATCTGTGAAGCCCCATTTGACCTGGGACTGTCCCTGCTCTCTCGAAACATTAAATTTTGGAGAATTGAATGAGAAAGGCCTTTGCCTGGAGCTTCTTACTTGAATCTGCCAGGTCTGAGCCTGCGGCTTTTCAGGTTAAACCTGAAGATCAACTCTAAGTCATATCAAATCCTGGAGGCTTACCAGCAGTCTTCAATTCCTCCCTTCTTGCAGAATTTTCATACTTTACATATTACAGCAAGCCTGTAAGTGCCTCACACGATTTTGGGAACAGTCAAGCCCGTGCGTAGCAAAGCCCTCGCAGGCAGCGGCGCAGAATTAACCTGGTTTGGAGATGGTGGGAGGTGACCAAGCCCCTGTTCCATCCCTGGGCTGTGAGGGGGCACAGCATCCCCAGTCTGAGCCCAAATCCGCTCTGAGGAAGCCTGGACCACCCGGATTTACCCTGGGGCTTGTGCAAGAGGGAGACACAACCTCCCCAAGGAGGCTGCCCAGAGGAGTGATGCTTTAGTGTTGCTTTAGGCACTAGGAAGTATATATATATATATATCTCTAAACACACTTTTGTGCGTTCTCTTAGCAACTACTTCTCTCTCTTTTTATCCCTTTAACAAAGGAAATGGATGATGATCTCGACGAGGCGTTTTCAAGGTAATTCTAATAACTCCCTTTACAAGTTCACGCCACTGGGGACCAGCCCTGGAGACTCTGGTGACTGGCTTTTAATAACGCTGCTAATCTAATCAGCACCGTGATCTGACCTAGGCAGCTGCCCCATCAGGGCCTCAGCTGTTAATTGAAAGATAGGCTTTGAGGCTGGCTGATAAGCCAAATATTTTGACAACCTTTTAAGGATGGAGTGAGGCTGTATGTGATAGGGAATTTAATTCCCCAAGCTGTTGGCGTGTCCGGGCAGTTTGAGGCTGCCTGTTTTCAGCCCCAGCCATGGCAATGCTCGTCCCAGCATCTGGGGCACGGGGCACTTTACCCTTCCTTGCCCCTCCTGAGGTTGGGACTGACCCTGGGACCTTGTTCCCAAACCCTGCCAGGGCAGCTGCCCTGCTCCACCAGTCCCCGTTGCATCAAAGGCACCAATTTTGAACTCACGCATGTGAGCATGTTCACAATTCACAGCCCAAACTTCACAGGGCTTAGTTCACTTCCCAGTCCCAATTACGAGCCATCCAGCAATGTTCAACAAATCCCTTTTTTAGGTGAGTTTTCTTCCCTGTCCTCATGTCCTGCAGGTGATGGGGCTGCTTTTGTGTTCACGGGTCCCATCCCCAGCATCGGTGCATGAAGCCGCCCCTGCTGAGGCCCCAGTTTGGGCAAAGCAGATGCTGCGGGCAGCAGCGAGCTGGGAGGTGGTGACAGAGCAGGGCTGAGCCAGTGCTGTCGCCTCCTCAAGCACCGCTCGCCTGCACAGGGCTTGCAGCAGCGCAGGAACTGCACACTCAGCCCTAAGAAAGCAGAGTTTGTCCCTCGCGGGGCTCTCGGGAGTGATTTATGGCTTCTACTTCCACGGTAGCCCTGTCCTGAGCTGTGCTTGATGAAGGGGCTGCTTGAATTTATGTCTCAATGTCATCTCTTTTCCTCACCGCGGCTCCTCGCCCCACTTAACGAAGCAGATGTTGTTGGTTGTGGTCTTTGTTTAGCATTGCTGGATGCCGAGCTGTCGCATCACCCCTGGCCTCCTGGTGACTCAGTATTTGGACGGCTCATCCGCCTCGGCAGGTGCCGCTGAAACCCTTCCTGCCACAACATCATGGCTGCCCATTTGTCTTTTTTATTAAAAAACATGCGTGTGGCTGGTTTAATCTGAGCCTTATTGGACACCACGCATCCGCTGGATGAAACACCAAATACTTGAGTTAACCTTTGGCCCTGGGAGGATCAGTGCTGCAGTGTTGCATTTTCAGAGGTATTTAATAACGCAGCAGCAAAGTGGGGCTTGTTTTGCGAAACGTCTGGGATGGGCTGAGATGAAAACCCCTTAAAGCTGATCCTGGGGGCTATTAAACATCATCCAGGTCCTGCTGTGTCTTAATTTAAAGAGTTAAATGCCTGGGCCAGGAGCTGAGCCGCACCATGAAAATGGAGTCATTGCAGCGATGCTGCTCCTCTGGTCAGCCTTAACACTGAGATGAGATCCCTGCACCCGCAGCGACAGCTCGGGGGAGGAAAAGAGCACCAGAGCATTAATATATGGGATGGCCAGGCTGCAAATTCCCTGGATGCCCGCAGGGGAAACGTTGGGATAAACCAATCTGCAGCGAAGTTGCCAGAGCTGCAAATGTTACGTGCCAGCGCTCCCCGCGCTGAGTTATTTCATTCCGGTGGAGGGTTTTGAAATGTGGAGCTGCAGCGAGGGCTCGGCATTACGGATGCACCGAGCATCCAGGCTGTAAACTGCACGGGTTGTGTTCTTACTCTGTGTTCTTCTCCCCTCAGGCTGGCTCAGTCGAGGACGAACCCGCACGTCCTCGACACGGGGCTGACGGCCCAGGACATCCAGAGCGCGGAGACGCTCTCCCCTGTGGACTGGAACAAAATCGAGTCCAACACGGGCGAGAAAGATGATCTGTTCATGTTTTGAGGTCAAACGCATCCAAGAGCTGACGAGAGAATAACCACTAAACGTCGATGGACTGAGTTGTGCTGTGTTCAAGGGACTCTGCACCGCGTCGGGTGATGTTACAGCACAGGTTAGACCAAAGCTTTAGAAATCTAATGTAGATTTTTATACCTTGCTTTTATCTAAACCACAGGATGCTCTTGACCGTATTTATTCATAGCCGTTACAGTTTACATGTATTATTGGAAGGTGTGTAGAGCATCTCCAGTATTAGGTGGCCACGGAAGAACCTTCAGCAGTGCCTGTTCCTCTGACAAAAAGGCTATGCAACACCAAAGGCTCTGTACATACTTCTCTAGACAAAGGTCTGCAGATGCAAATGCAATCGCAAGCACAACTGTTACTAATCCAGTGTTCCTTGGTCGACACATTCACCTGCCGAGGCGGAGGGGAGATTTGCAGCAGCTGCTAACTTAAAATCAAAGAGGGAGCAGAGATCTTGCTTTTGTGGTGGATGTCAGTGGATGTCTCACAGTTGTCAATCAGCCCTGCGTCTTCTGGCTGTTTCCTCACCAGCTTCGTGTGGGAGTTGATGCTTTTTTACCCAAAGACTCTACAAAGTTTTGCACTTTAACACTTGAACTGAAAGCAATGGTCCGAATTGTCAAGGTAAGCAGTGCCTGTAACTTCTCTTCAGAAGCTATTTACCCAAAAAAAACCAACCAACCCCAAAACGCAACCCTCAATGCTGCAGGTCCGTTTCAAAACTGACTGCTCACGTGCGCCGTTTCTGATGTGACTCCAAATACTCCAGCTCCGTTGCACTGTTGGCTTTAAAAGCAAAACCAGCGGGGAGTTCCCATTAGTTTTGCGGAAGCGCATTGGCAGCCGCGGGTTGGGCGAGCCCAGCAGCGCCGTAGATTTTCTGTGTTCCCAGCCCCGCGAGGTGGATTTGGCCGCTTGTGCCTTTTTCCTGGCTCCAAACCGCTCGCTCGATAGACTCGAGCGGGGTTGGATTGGGAAAACCCAATACCTGGATGCTCAGTGAGGATGAGGGGCCCCTTCCAGCAGCGCTGCCGTCCTCGGAATTGAAAATAAGGAATGGAGGTATAAAGCTTATGCTAATTAAAAGATTAAGTTTAATGATCCTAAATAGTCGCACTGACAGTTTGCAGTGTTTGTGGCCTTATGTGAAGTATACTAATCTGTTTTATAGATTTGTAACTTGGTTTTGAAACACTAATTCATTCCCCAGATAGCTCTTTATAACTCTCTTAAAACTGCTTGCAGGGGGAAAGAAAAAAAAAAGAAAGAGAAAAGCCTCTGTCAGCTGTAAGAATTTATTAGGAAACAGCTGAGTGACTCTAACTTAGATCTGATTTTTTTTCTCCCCCTAAGTGTTATTGTGATAAGGTGTTGAGGACGTGTGAAGCTGACTCATCATGTCTCTTAATAAAATGTGCGCTCTGTTTATCCTGCAAAACGGTGTTTAAAGCAATTTTACATCTTGAAACTACCGTGCCCGTGACTTGATCGTCTGTGTAGCGTCGCTGTCTCGCAATTGAAGGAATTATTCCCAGTTTTTCTGTGACACAGAGGCACACGGCACAGACGTGGACCTCTTGAGCAGGCGATGCCAGAACCATGCAGATGTGGTTGTAGCCTTGTCCCGACCCCAGGGAGCGAGGGTTTTCCTAAGAAAAACCTTGGGCTGTAGGAATGGACCTTGAGGATTTCTCTGTACGTTGAGCTTTCTCCTTTTCTAGAGACTTTAGGAGCATATACCGAAATGCAGAATACTATATATGTATGTATATAGTTTTTTAAGAAAACCTTATGCTGTAAAGAATACCTGTACTGAGGAAAATAAAAGTTCTGCCATTTTTTGGACCATCTGTGCTGGGCGACTTTATTTTTACCATGGCCCTTTTAATGCACAGAAGCCTTTGCGTTTCTAACTGGTTGAATTCTCCCTTGATGCACAGCAGAGACACCTGCAGAAGGGTTGTGTCCATCATTGGCTGTGTCCAGGGCCGTGCAGGTGGGACGATAGCTGTGGTGAGATGCTGGTTCACGGTGCTGCCTGTGGAAAATGCTTACAGGGCTGGATGCAGCCCCATGGGATGCACTGAGGTGGAGGTGGATGTTGCAGCTCCATAAATCTGTCCCTGCTCAAGTCCCCACATCGCTGGATCGGCCCCCCAGGTACAGCATGACAAGGTGTGGGAAAAGGAAGGTTGGTGCTTCGGGCTCATCTGCAGATAAATGCGGCACTGGTAACATCAAAAAACCCAAATCCCTTAATTGAGAGAGTTTCTGAGTCGCTGTGCAAAGCGCTTCTCCCTCGGGGGCAGTTTAATTTGTACGGCTGCCTGTTAAACAAAACCAGCCCGGAGCGCCCGGTGCTGCGCTGCCATCTCAGCCTCCCCCTGCGGTTCTGCCTTTGCTGGCTGCGAATTTTGGAGGGCCCGGGCTCCTGTGGGGTTTATCACTGTGTTGGGGGTGTACACAGCAAACAGATTTAACCTGCGAGTGCCACTGTGCTCCCCATGGGTATCAGAGCTGAGCAGAGAGGCCTCTTCCTACGGTGTTAGCAAAAAAAATGCAATCGAAGTTCATTTTGGTGTCCAAATTGCCTGTTCCAGTGTGAGGAGATGGCTCAGATTACGAGCGCTGAGCACCGGCAGCCTGCACCTTCATGCATAACGGATGGCGACGCTGCAGAACAAATGGATCTTTCGGTTTTGATGTGACCTTTTTTAAGTGCCTGTTAAGAAACATTCAGCATCCGCTCCATTCAGCTGCTGTGGCTGCGGGGTTGTGATCTGGGGCATCCGCTGTTTCTGCTCTGGGGGCCATGGAGCAAGTTTGCTGCCTGTTTTCCCCTCTCTGAGCAGCTCCAGCAGCAGGAGCTGTGCTGGGAGATGCCGCTTTATTGCTCTGCATTGGTTTGAGGCGGATGCAGGACGTAAGGGCCCCATCCATCCCGCAGACAGGCGCCGACGTGGGCGAGGAAGCGCAGAGCCCATCTTCAATCTCCCTCCCCAAAGCACCTGCTAAGGAAACAAAACCTGCAGCTGGCACCAGCCCCGTAGTTGGGAGCTGATTTCTTTCCCTCGTTAAACTCATTTAATGCATCCCCAAAACTGCAGCAACTCACCCAGGCTGTCGCTGCCCAGTTACGGGCTGGGTTTGGGAACAGACATGAAGTTTCTCAAGCCATTTCCTCTCCATTTAATGAATGCTCTGGAGTGATGGGCAGTTGTGTTACGTGCATCGAGGCCGAATCCAGCTCTGAGGACTCAGACCGGCCGCCGTGGGGACGCGCTGAGCCGTTGAGGTCGATGGTGCTGAGAGTTGGTAAATTTGTGCCAAGCTTCAGTGAGAGTTGCAGGGCTGTCGTTACCCAGATCATTCTGTTTTAAAGGACAAATAAAGAGAGCAACATTTCATCTGAGCACCTGAATGCTGGATTATGGGTTTTATAGCCAGCCCCAGGGTGGCGGGAGCTGCGGGTTGCGCTGCTGGGCTCTGAAGCAAGAAGAAATCACCGTCCTCGTGGAGAGGCACAAATGATTTTGGCTTAGGATGGAGGGTGGGAGGGCAGGGGGGTTGTTTGAAAGCTGCTCTGCTGTAACACATCAGTGTTGTGTGATGCTGCCCACAATGGCCACAGCAAACTGCGGGACCCCGGTGGGATTTGTCCCTGTTAGAGCCTAGGGGAGCTGAACTTGAAAAAACACCGGGCAAAGGCACCAAAATCCTTGCAGGGATCCAGGCAGGGGCTTGCTCCGAGGGTCAGCAAACAGCACTAAAGGGGTATTTTGCAAGCATGGCTCTGCCTTTGAACTCCCAGGGGTTGCAGCACTGGATGGCAGGAGCGGGTGTTGCAGTGGGAGAGCAGCAGCGATGCAGCAAATGGCTTTTGTCAACGTTTCCATCACCGGGAGTTGCAGAGCCGACGTTCCCTCGGTCTGCACGAACGACGAGGGGCGCGGGGTCATTCTGCCAAATCCCTTCTGCACAGGAAAGCGTCTCCTTCTGCAGAAGCCATCGTTTCGGTGCCAAAAATCCACCAACTTGTCAGAAAGTTACCTTTTTTATCCCAGCGCAAACAAAACTCAAGCACACGGGGATTCTGCTGACAGCCCTGGGCTCCAAAGTCCTTTTAACAGCCAGGCGGCATCTGACTGCGAGCAATTTATCAGGAGCGAGCGGATCCCGCGTATGACAGAGGGAGTCTTAATATTGCATTGCTTCATTTATTTAGCACCTCTCCTCTCGCACCCAGGGGAAGGATAATGGGAAACAGCATTGCGGGTTGCTGGGGGTTGGTTGTTATTTTTCCTCCCTGCTAAAAGCAAACATCCCCAGCTGGTTCTTGGCTGAGAGAAGAAATATTGGCTTTACAAAAAGAAGGGATGTCAAGTCATTAGAAGCTGCAGGAAGAGGAAATCTTCTGAGATGGAAGTGAAAATGGGGCCAGAGAGCTGGAGCTGGAAAGCTGACGTAGGAAACGCAGGGAGAGCGGAGGTGTTTGCACAGCAAATGTGGTGGGAAGTAATTAGTGACCAGGGACTGATTAATCTACTGCCACCAGCCCCTCGCGCTGGGCACCCATGGTCCCTTCTCCGGTGGGCTCTGATCTCCCCTGGCAGTGACTTCTCCTCGCTCCAGCTCCACAGCAGCTCCTGGTGAGGTGGCTCCAGGCCCGTGGTGCCAAAGGGCCCCTGGGCTCTGCCCCAGGGAGCGGATTAGCCCTGGGCTACCGGGGCCACTTCGCTGCCAGCTGTGCCCAGGCGCCTCTGAGCAGGGAGCCAGAGCCTGGGGGTCTCCATCCCTCCAGCTCCCGGCTGGCACTGCTCACCGTTGGCAGCACCGAGCATCTCCCGGGGCTCTCACCCGCCAGAAAGCTGTCGGCCCCGGCTGTGAGCGCAGAAATGTGTCACCACGATTCCTTATTCCCCGTGGTGTGATCAAATGGGGGTTTTTGGAAGCTGTCAGCAGTCACAGAAGCCGGG